CTGGGGCAGCCTTAGCCAGCCTCCACGTTTGAGTTTAAATGTTGGAAAGAAGAGGTGAATGTTATTATTGAAGAGGGGTCCTAAAGATTTATGCAGATACCAGAATTTCATGTTGCAAAGTTCAGCATGTATGAATCAACAACCTAAACTTGGATTCGAAAGAAGTCACATTTACCACTTAAATTAAATTTAACTTTGAGTTCTGATTCCACTGGACTTGTCAGAAGATTCCATCCCAGTTATTTTTAGGGCTCCCTCCATGTGTCAGTTGGTTACTGCTGTGTAACAAACCACCCAGCACTTACAGGCCGACAACAACCACTCTCTCTCTCATGAACCTGCCGTTTGGACAAAGCTCAGCAGGGACAGCTTGTGTCTGCTTCATTTGGTGTCGGGCGGGGCAGCGTGACTGGGGGCTGGAGAATTTGCTTGCAAGATGGCTCACTTCTCTGGCTGCCCAGCTGGTGCCAGCTGCTGCTGGGAGTTCAGTGGTCTGTGGGTTGGAGGTCTCAGTCCCTCTCCATGCGGGCTTCCCCGTGGGCCATTTGGCTTTTTTCATGGCATGGCACTGGGTTCCAAGATCAAGCAACTCAAGGAGCCAGACAGAAGCTATATCAACTTTTATGACTTATCCTTGGAAGTCACAAAGTGCCGTTCTGTTTTCGCCACAGTTCCTCCCAGACTCAGCAGGAGGAGAAACGGGAGCAGAGATATCACTGCAACCACCTTTGGAAAAAACAATCTGCCACTCCCCTAACCGAAAAGTTATATGAAGGTTCAAGAGTCCTTAGAAAGCCAAACGTTTTGGCCAGATAAGCCATTGCTCCGATGTGCATGGACCAAGCCCATGTTGTGTTTTTAGAGTCTGAGACTTCTGGGTTTTTTTACTTTTATGGGGTCAAAGGTCATGGCAACACAGCCTAGAGGTCCCAAACAAGCACAGACTCAGAAGCCAGATTCCCAGCTCCATCACTTACAGGCTGTGCGACTCAGTTTCCCCATCTGTGAAGTTGGAACAGGTTTATGAAGATTAAATGAGCTAATATTTATTAAATGTTTAGTTCTATAAGTGCTTGGTTCTTAGGAAGCTTTATTAAATTATCCAGCCAAGAATTACTGAGCACTTACTGTATACTAGGTACCTAATAAAACAAACCAAGAGCCCCATGGTGGGTACCCTGGGGCAGGGAATACTTGATGACATTACTTCAGTGGTTCTCGAGTGTGGAAGATTGTATTTGACAGAATGGACATCTCAATACACTAGATCTCATCTCACATGTCCTTCTTACAATGTGGCATTGACCCATTTTCATAAGGGGTGGGTGTGTTCCTTCCCCTTAAACCTGTGCAGACCTTTGCAGCGGCCCTGACCAATAGCCTATGGTAGACCGAGTGCAGCTTCTAAGGTTTGGTCATAAAAGGCATTGCAGCTTCTACCTTGGTCTCTTGGATCACTTGGTCAGCGGAAACTAGGTGCCATGCCGTGAGGATACTCCCCAAATCTTTCTCTTAGATGTTTGAGATAGACCTGCTCTTCTGCCGGACTGCAGCCTCCTGGCAGCAGGGCGAAAGTGTCCTTCATGGCCATGGAGCCTGCAGCACCCAGCACAGCACCCGACACCTGAATGAATGAACACTGAAGTAGACGGAAGTGGATGGAGGGAGAAGATGCTTGGGTTGAGGCTGGATATGACACCCACCTTTCCACTGGAGACACCCCATCCAATTCAAGACAGTCTAGATGCCCCCTCCTCAAGCGAGCCTTGCTATCACCTGCAGACCAGGCGAGGCCCCTCCTTAATACTTCCCTTCAGCTCCACGTACTTTGCCTTAACAAGCTATATCAGAATGATAGTTATTTGTGGACTCATCTATTTACGTATCACCTTGCTCATCTGGAATATAAAGCTCTGGCCCTAGCCAGTTTGGCTCAGTGGATAGAACATCGGCCTGCAGACCAAAGGGTCCCAGGTTCGATTCCAGTCAAGGGCATGTACCTTGGTTGCAGGGTCCTCCCCAGCCCGGGCCATGGTCGGGGCGCATGCAGGTGGCAACCAATTGATGATTCTCTCATATCGATGTTTCTCTCTGTCTTTCCCTCTCTCTTCCACTCTCCCTAAAAATCAATGGAAAAAGATCCTCAGGTGAGGATTAACAACAAATAAATAAATAATTAAAGCTCTGTTCTTGGGGCTCCAAATGACAGCCAGTTGTCCTCCACAAGGTATCGTTATTCCTACTCTACAAAAGAGTGCCTTGGAGCACAGAGAAATCAAGCAGACGGTAGTTTAGCCATTAGACGACCAAGTCAAGATATGAACCCACATGAGCTGATCCCAAAGGCTGTGCTCATAACGATTGAGCCACAGAGCCTCACTGTGTATCTCTCCAGGGAAAGTCCAGATCTATCTCGCGGACCAATATATCCCAGTGCCAGCCTGGCATGGAAAATACACAGTCAATCCCCATATTTGTGGATTCCGTGTTTGCAAATTGGCCTACTGCCTGCAATTTATTTTTAATTCCAAGTCAGTCCTCATGTGCAGACTGAAGAAAATCGGGTGGCCTAACGTGCCAGCTGAAGTGGGAAAAGGTGATGCTCTGTCTTCTTCTTTCCGCTCTTGTACTACAAACAAGTGTCCTTTTGCATTCTATTTAATGCCACATTTTCTGCGTTTTTGTCTTTTTTGTTGATAATTTTGCAGTTTAAAATGGCCCCACGCTTAGTGCTGAAGCGCTGTCTATTGTTCCTAAGCACAGGAGGCTACGACGTGCTTTACGGAGAAAACACATGTTAGCTAAGCTTCATTCAGGCCTGAGGTACAGTGTTGTCCATGAGTGTAATGTTAATGAATCAACAATATATTAAACTAGGGGGCCAGTGCATGAATTGGTGCACCTTGAAAGGAACTGTGGGCTGTGAGGCATGCTGGTAGGTACAGGGGCAGGTCTTGGTCCATCCTCCATGCCCCTGCCCGGCCCCTCCCACCACGGTCCCCTGACTCCATCCCTGTCCCCTGTCTGCCAGCAGCCCTGCTCACATGCTGAAGGTACAGAGCTATTGGGGCCAGCGCCATCAGTGGATGCGAATGGCTGCTGCTCTGATCGCCTCTCAGGAGTAGGGAGAGGTGGAGAAACCCTCAGGGGCTATCAAGGCTGGCAGCCACTGCTCCCACCCGCTGATGGTGCTGAGTGATCAGGACCGATGCTGGGCACCAGCAGCAGGTGCAAGTGGCAGCTCCGGTGCTGGCAGTGGGTGTGAGCAGGGCCCATGCCGGAAGCAGGTGCAAATGCCGAGTGAGACTGCAGCACGTGGGAAAAAAGAATTTTCAGTAACCACCAGAGGCTCGCCCAGATGACAGAGACTGGCGCCCCATCTTGGTCTGGCGCCCTCGCTCACCTGCTCCACTATCCCACCATGGCCGACGCCCACCATGTTCCACACATGCCCCCTGGTGGTCAGAGCACATCATAGTGACTGGTTGTTCAGTTGTTCCACCGTTCAGTCTATTTGCATATTAGCCTTTTATTATATAGGACTAGAGGCCCGGTGCACAAAAATTTGTGCACTCGGAGGGGAGG